AATTAATATAGAATCAGTCCTATCTTATATGTGAGGAAGCTGAAGCAGAATTAGGCAAAGCAGTTTGTCCAAGCTTACACCAGAAAAGGTCAAGTTGGTGTCCAAATACCAGCACTCTGGCTTCAGAGGCCATGATCTTGACCATTGGCAACCCTGCCCCTCAGGCCTCTAATCCTGAATTAGTCCTTGGGAGAAGTTCAGCTGTACCTTGGCCCTCACAGGATCCATAGAACTTCTGATCCAAGTATTACCCTTGGCTGTTGGATCAATCACCATTCCAGACATACAGCCCAACCTGAGTGTAGGACATACAAGAATGGACGAGAGATCGCATGAATGCATACATTGACCAGTCAATGAATTAAGCAATTGCTTTGAAAAGATCATTAACCTGGACATATCTCTGACCGCTGAGGTGCTACGTGGGGGTGGCCGGCAGCATAGTATGAGCAGAGATGAGACTGAAGATGTAGGCAGAGCCCAGGCCTTTACAAAGGATTTCAAAATGTGTCCTGAGAGCCAATGGAAGCCATGGAGGGACTTTCAGCAGGACAATGACTTTCTTAAGAAGGCCAGTGGTGGTGTGACGTATGGCCAGCCGGATGCTGTCTTGCTTGAAGGGCACTTCCAGTTCTGGCACATGTGAGACAAGGAGTAGGAGTGGTGAGTGAGTCTGTCCCTGCATGGGGGTGTAGATCCTGAACAGAGAGGCCCAGCTGCTTGCCGAACAGATGTAAGAAAATTTCCTCATTGCTGACTTGCACGGTGGCTCTCTGCCTTAACCCTGTTGCCCCTTCCTAGTGGGCTTGGGATAGGGATTTTCCTCCAGCTACAACCTTGGCCAGCAGCTGCCCTTTCAGACCATGGCCTTGTGCCCAAGGATTCTGAGTCATGGAGGCAGCAGCCTCAGGAGAGGCAAGGAGCTCAGCTGACATTTTGAGCCGACACGGATGTGTCAGCACCTACAGTTTCCTGAGCCTGCTGGGCAGCCAGACTTTGGCTGAGGTCATGAAGACATAGCAAATGGAAGCTCACAGCACCCCAGGGGAAGGGACAGAAGTAATGACCCATCAGGCTCCATACAGCCCATTAGCATTGAACATTGCACTTGCTTCTGCTCTTGACCCAGACTCTGAGTTCTTGTCGAGGTCACCCAGCCATGCCAAAGGGGGCAACAGCTGACATCCTTGCTATAGCTTTATGAGAATGAGAGGGACGGGATGCTGTCATAGGTGAGATCCAGAGGTGATTCAGTGCAGCTCATCATCAGTTTTCCAAAGGTTCTGGGGTTACAAAGGCACAGTCTCTGCCTGTGGAAGCTACAGCCCTTGTGGGATGACAGACTCCCAAGCAAACATGGCAGTGCAGGGGCCGCCCCCTGCAGAAATGGGGAGTGCATGGAACAGCAGCCTGGCAGGCAGTAAGAAGAGTTCCCAGAACAGGAGCAGGATCCAAGAAACTGAACACAGGGAGTGCGTGAGCTGGACCTGGCTGGATGAGTTGGACTTTGAAGAAAAAACCAAGAAGGAAAGGAAGCAGAGGCAAATAGAGGAGCATAGTAGTTGAACCAAATAACTCAGGAGCCAGAGTGCTGAGTTTAAAATCACTTTGTTCATGACACATTACTTATCCTTTCTATGTATCAACTTCTTCTGTGAACAAAACAGTAGTACTAGTACAGACTTCAGAGGATTTGAAATATTAATGTACATAAAGTGCTCAGAAGAGTGCCCGGCCCACAGTAAGTACTATAAAAGTATTAGGTGTTGTTGTTGTTGTCATTGTCACTATTGCCTTTGTCTTTGGACAGTGATCCAGGATAAAAGCCATGAAGCTACAGGTGGATGAGAGACCAGTTGCAGGAGTGCAAAGACCAACTACGGCCAGAGAGAGTAATGGTGAGTCATTGAGATTTTAACCTTTCTCTTCCATGGGGAATTTTCACAAGCAGAAGACGATAGGTAACAAATAAGTGAGGCTTACCTGTGCCCATGCCTCGGACCCGAGGAAGGAAAACCTATTCAGGGTGTAAGCTCCAGCTTTAGTCCCTGCCCTAGCCACTGAGCAGGCTCAGTCTCTACCCCAACTTAGTCACCAGAGCCAGAGAGAGAAGGCACGAATGGTTTTGTTCAACCTGGACAAACATGGGTGAATCTGATGCCTGGAGGTATGGTGGAGCAAGAAGGGAGACCGTGGATGGGCATAGAACCTGCCTCAGATTGACATGTGGTCCCAAGAGGAGAGGGATACCCGAGGGGAAGATGAATTTGAGGTGCACTTGGGGCAAGGTGAGCATCCATGAAAGTATCCCAGAAGAGAGAGGAAGTCTGGGATGAGGTCTAGAGCCCTAACAGAAGGGCCTCGCAAGGAGCACACAGAATTCCAGGGTCCCAGCCAACTGGCGAGCGTGGGCTTACGGCTCCCTGGGGAAGTGAAGCAGCAACTGAGTGAGCAGAATGCTGGTGAGAGCAAAGAACTATTTCTTCTCCCTCATATCTGTCCCTTTAATCTCCACTCTCCTACCTCCGGAGTAAAATCTTAGGTGTATCATAGTTTGGATTGGCCATTGCTTTCTAATAAAGTCCTTTGGTCATGTTCAGGCCCCCAAATGATCTCATTTATGCAATTAGCATGCCCAGTATGATAATTAACACTCAAAGCTTTAAGTAAAGTGAAAGTTCTTCCTTTTCCCCCAGCCTGATCACAGGTGATAGGGCTGAGGTTTCAAGGTCTACTTCTCTCCTGGTCTATCTTCTCCTTGCTCTATTTTCTTTCTGTCTCACCCCTAGCAAGCTGCCCAGACTCCTCCTGGATAAAGACAGAAGGAGAGAAAGTGGGGCCTGCTGGGCCTGGCTGACTTGGATGATTTTTATGGATTCACTTGGGCTTGAGTGATGTCCAGTGCTAACTCAAGGCCCCTTCTTGGGAAAGTTCCTTTACAAGATGTCTCTAGGTCAGTTTTCTCCTACAGTCCACTTGATTCATGGGGAACATGGCCTCCACCACACTCTGCTTTGTTGATAGAAGCATGGCTTTTCACTAGGGTACACCGGCGTCTCTCTTCCTGACCTATCAGACAAGCCTCGAGCTCTCGCCCTACGTAAGTGTCAGACACTAGGTCACTTTCTCCCAATGTCTAAGTCAAATATATTAAGCCCTAACTTCAGTGCCCCTTCCTCACTTGGCTTCAGATGAAGAGAGGGTCCCCTTCATCACCATGGGCTGGTGGTAGATATCTGATGTATTAATAGATTTTTTTTTCTCTTTGAGTTTATTGGTACATTTTAGGTATACTGTACAGTTGCATTCATCATTGGGATCTTGTACCTTTACATGACAGGTCTTGGTTCTCATTTTTTCCCTTTATCCCTGCCCTCCCTTCACCCCCTCCTCCCTTCCCTATTTACAAATACTTTATTTCCATTTTTTCATTTTCTTGTGTTTTTTTCTTTTCCCTTAGTACCTTTCCCCTACCCTTCCCACTTCCCCTACACTGTTAGCCCTTTTCTTCCTATTTCACATTGTCAGCTATATCATTAGAATTTCCCTGTCTCACCCGCAATGTTTCCAACTTGACCCCTTGTGTTGGATGATGAGATTAAATTCTCAAAACTGGTTTTGGGCCCCTCTTTTGCAAACACAGATCTTGAACTTGGTGGACAGGGCAAACCACCTGAGTTCCCTCTGTCCTAAGGCCAAGCATTATGTGAGGTTCACTACTGTATTTTCAGATCCTCCAACTGTATTTGGCATTTAATTGCTGAATTATTCTGGCAGACAGAATAATGGCCTTCAAAACGTCCAAGTCCTAATCCCCAGAATTTAGGAAAATGTTAGGTTACATGGGAAAGGAGGATTAAATTTGCAGGTGGAATTAGGGATGCTAATCAACTGACCTTGAGCAAGGGAAGTAATTTTAGATTTTCTGGTTGAGCCTAATGCCATAACAATGGTCCTTAGAAGTGAAAGAGGTGGGCAGAAGGTCAGAGTTAGGGAGAGCTTTGAAGATACAATGCTGTCAGTATGGAAGTTAGGAAGTAGGCACAAGCCAAGGGATGCAGCCTTTAGAAGTTTGTTATGTTTTTGGTCTAAAATGTCCCACCAAATTCTAATGTGTGTGTGGAAGGTGATTGGATAATGGTGATGCGATACTCATTAGTGGACTCATCCATTGATGAGTTGAGAGCTGAGTGTGCTCTTAGGAGCTGATTGGAGGTAGGTTACTGGGAATGTGACCTGGAAGGGTGTATTCTTGTCCCTGGATCCTTTTCTCTCTGCTTCCTGTTGCCACAGGATGAGCAGCTTCCCTCTGCCGTGCCTTTCTTCCTTGGAGCTAGCCAAGTATAGACTGAAACTGTGAGCCACAATAAACTTCTCCTCCTTTACAGCCTGGGTATTTGATATTTTGTTCAGTGACAGGAAAGTGACTAAGATAATTCTGGAGAAGGCAAGAAAATGTATTCTCCCTTAGAACTTCTAGAAACAAAGACAGCTTGTCTAATGCCTTCATTTTATCCCAGTGGGACTCATTTAGGACTTATGACCTCCAAAAGTAAGATGTTACACTTGGTGTTGTGTTAAACTACTAGATTTGTAGTGATTTGTCACAACAACCCAGGAAAACTAATACAATCAATACTTAATAAATTGTTGGCTGAATTGTGAAGTTACAATGAGCGAGAAGGTTGCATAATGAATGTGGAGTCCAAGCAAAGGCAGGATAAAAGTTCAGAGGGTTGTGCCCTCTATGGGGAGAGTTGAGACCTCTCTGCACGTTCCCTGTGCCACTCTGAGGTGGCAGGATATTCACCTCAGCCACACTTGGAGGTGTCCATGGTCAGCACTGGACTAACAGTGCCAAGTCCTGGTTTGTAAAAAACCTGACCACTCCTTTCTGCAAATTTGCTTTTGTAGTTTTCAAAATGGTAAAAGTAAATTTCCCCTGCAATTCAGATGAATATTATCACATGAAAATAGAAGCTTCCTTTTTTCTAATATTTTATTTGTTGTCTTCAGAGGCAAATGGCTGCTATTTTAAAAGGCCCTTTTACGATTTTCCTACAATATAACAGCACATATTTCCATATTTACTCATGCACGCACATACACAGAGTGCTTTGATAAGAATTACACTCTAAATACTGTTCTACAAATTTCTTTGTTCGTGTAACAACATATCTGGCTATCTTCCTTTAGCACATATAAGTACACTACGTTCTTTTTAACAGTTTCATAGTGGTCCATTATATGCTATGATTTATATAGCCACTGCCATAGTGACATTTAGAGGGCTTGGTGTAGCAGATTCTTTAATATTTAATTGCGCTGTTTCAAGACTATGAACTCACAGACCTTTTGTGCCTTTCAAAGACCCTGACTATTCATTTTTGGAATGTCTACCCCATATCACATCAAACATATTTAAATACACCCACATTCCACATAAAAAAGAAATTTTTACTATAAAAATTGAAAGGAAATTTTATGATTTTGCTCTTGATATAATTTGACTCTAGTAAGTTATTTGATTTATGATTGACTATAATTTTTCAGTAAACATCGTATATACTTGGGAATTCTCTCAAAGTGAGACAATTTAACCAGCAAATAGCTTTTAAGTGTATTGACATTTTTATGAATACTAAGCTTAACAACTAACAAATGTTCCAGAATGCTATACTTTGTAGATATTTTAATAAATACTAATTTTAATTCTGTTGCTTTCTTTTTGTATTTTGGAGTCAATCATTTTCTTTTTTAGACCTCTTTTTTGTGAAGGGTGGTTCTGGGGATTGAACCCAGAGTTTATGCTAAGCAAACACTCTACTATTAAGCTACATAGGTAGGTCTTTTTATTTTATTTTACTTTTTATTTTGAGATAGGGTCTCACCATGTTGCCCAGGTTGGTCTGGAACTTGCCATCTTCCTGCTTCTGCCTCACAGGTAATCGGGATGATAGGCCACCGTGCCCCTCATGCTTTCTTAAAGCTTTGAGAAGTTTGTAATCCCTAGACGTGATGACTGGAGCAACAAAGGGTCAAAAGGCTGTACACACCGCCCCTTGCTGGATTCTTAGGCTCACTCTGGAGGAGAGTGGGAGAGAGTTGGGGTTTATGTAGGGCTGGCTTGGGTAGGAAGCTTCCTGGAGTCCCCAAAATGGGTGCCTTCCAAGATGGTCTCAAGGGCAGAGTGAGGTAGGGTATTGGAAGGGGTCATAAAGAGGAGCAGAGAGACAGCTAAGGAACATCGCCCAGGGCGAGTCTTTTGCAAGGGAATAAAATGGGCTGGGCTTTGGGTTTCCTTAGTGTCCTCACCCATACATCCCATAATAATCTCTCAAAGGGCTTGTTTATTTATTGCTATTGGGAAGGTCTCCCTTGTTTGCCTTTCAAAGGGTCACCAAGCCTTCAAGGTCTAGAGCTTTCTCCCTCCACTCCTCTATTCAAACTACTGTAAAACTGGAGCAGGCCACAGAGGTTGATGCGGAGCTGACTAATGGGCAAACCAGGGGCCTTCATCGCAGGTAAATTTCCCCATCTGCATTGCTACATGTGGAAATGGCATACTGATCAGAGTGGTAAGTGCTCAAGAGGGAAGGGCAACATAATGACGAAGACAATTTGGCATCTCATTTAATTTCCTCACACAAAATTAACATTTTTGAAAAGATTGACTTTCTCCATGGAAATTCCTCTCCAATACAAGCACTTGTTCAATGATGGCCTATTATAAATGCTTATGATCCTGAGGATGAGATTTCTATAACATCAGACGCTATTATTATTCTGAATAAAATCACTGTGAGGACAATTTCAGGTCCCACAAGCAGCTCTTAGCTTTAAGAAGTCCCTGTGGATCAGAACACAATTTCCATAGTTCAGTGACACAGACAGCCAG